AGCAGGAATAATCTCCCTAGAGAAAGCAAGGCCCCCTCCTTATGGGACAGCAGAGGAAATCTCAATACAAGATTCACAACTGCAAAGCCATGGGAAGAATTCAAGCCCAGACTGAACAGGACTGAGTGGGTTTGCCTGGGCCAGTTCACCAGGAGTCAAACAGAACTGGAGGCTCATTTCAGATAAACTTATCACCAAAACACCCCGACCTGTAAAGTACCAAGCAGCAGAGATACATGTGTGTGTATTCTTCATCATCAGGGGCAGGGAGGTGAGGCAGAAGGACGGCATTCCCTTCCCCAGCAGCATTCCCAGAGCTAGGAAGATTCACAGGACTGTCCCTGCCCTCAGAGAGAGCCAGTGGGGATGTCAAGTCCCAGAGCAGCTCCACATCCCCACAGCAGAACTGCTCCAGGCAAACTCCTCTGGGCAGCAGCTGTTCCCTCTAACGTGGTTAAATATTGTCTTCCCAAGACCAACCCAGCACCTGTGTCATGCAGACACTGGACACAATCTTTCCAAGAAGTCTGCTCTCTTGTGCTTCAGTGCCTGCAGGAAGCCCTGGATCCTCTCCTCACGCATGGCAGTGCATTTCTGCAGCAGCGTCTGCCGGCGCCGCGAGTCTCCGTGGGACACAAACCCCTCCTGCTGCAGCTTCATTGTCACATAAGCCTGATCCCTTTCCATTTCTTGTTGCCTCCTTTCCTCCAGGTAGGAATCTCTGGCCTTCTAGAGTGAAAAAAGCAGTAGAAGGTTAGCACTTTACCAGGCCATCCAGCTCATCTGTGGCACTGATGTGAAGCAGCACAGGTTAGGGAAGAAGCAGCCTCTGCTCAGCCATCAAGCTGCAGGTGAAATGAAGGGGGGCTCTGCATGCACTCCCCCTCTGTTTGAGGCAGCCTGCTTGATTAGTTAGGAATAAATACAGGAATATCCTTCTGGACCCTCTCCCCAAGTCTGCTCACTGTGTTAACTTGGTTAAATAGTTAACATAGATAAAGGTCAAGACAGATTGTGGAAGAACCCTCAGATACAGGAATCAGGAACAGCTACAAAAAGACCTTCAAACCACTGCCGAGCACACAGGCTGTGCTCACCAGTGTCATCCCAGAAGCTTTCATCCTGTTCATGTGGCAGCTGGAAGGTTTTAGGGGATCCTGAACAATGATTTGTGGGGCAATTATTGGAGCTGATGATTAGGTATGGAGCTAATCAGCTTCAGCATGAAAGCAAGAGTGGGCTCAGCATCCTCAAATGCCTGTGTGCTGGCTCAAGGCACAGCAGGGTAGGCAGGGGCTCTCCTTGCCTGCCCTTCCAGTATTTGAAATATTTTTGCAGAACATCACTTTTGGATTCCCTCTTATTGCACATCTCCTAACCTGCAGCCTCCAACAGCAGAAAAACATCTGCATCCAGGAATATTAAGCTTTCGCTTAAAAAAATAAAAATAAAAAATAGAACTGGTCGTTGTAACATAACCTGACACACACACTTGGGGAGTGCTGGCTTTTCAAATGAGCCAGAAGAAATTAGTCTAATGAGAGCCTGACTCACTGTGCACCACACTCTGCCTGTGCACAAGTCAGTAGTCTGTGCACTAGCACTGAAAATGAACTCTTGTGCTGGGAATGGGAGCAGAACCATCCCTAACTACAGAAATCCTCCTGAATCCTATCAGCACATCAACCCCCCAGCCCCACCATCCACACTGACAACCACCCCTTCCACCAAGTCAATTTGTTTCAAGAGCTCCAAATAGTTTTTGTTTTCAAGATCACCTGTTTTGAATGCAAAAAAACCCAGCTCTAAACCTCAGCAGTCCCTTGGAGTGAGAAGTCCTCCCCCCCTGCACAACTGGGCTGACAAAACAGCAGCCTCACAGTCTGGAAATTGGGTCTTACAGCAAGAAAACTGACCAAAGAACAAATGTGGATGATAATAAACCTTGATAATAGCAAAAAATGAACAAAGATGAGAAGAGCTAGGAACAGAAGCAGCATTTGTCACTCATCAGAAATTAGCACTAGGAGCACAGGCAGAACAGTGACCTTACTGTTCAATACTCCTCAAGACAGAGGCAAAGCTCATGTCAATGACAAACACTGCTGCCTTTTTTGCTTTCCTCTTCATGCAGAAGGTGAACTGCCATTAGTTGTGTTCATATAAAGAATTATTCGTAGGAAAAGTACAGACTTGGGGCAGAAACAGGAATAAAAGAGGTTAAGGGTGAAGATAATTTGGATGCTTCCAGGCTGACTGGACCTGATTAAATTCTCCCAAGAACATGACTGCTTATAATCTCTCTGACAAGTCTCAGAGGTGAGCAAGATCCCTGAAGGTAGAAAAGGGCAATATAATGCCTATCTTTAAAAACAGAGGACCCATATCATTAAGAAACACTCAGCAACCAGATCTGGTGGAGGTGAGAGTCACCACAAGCTCCTCCTCCTGCCAGTTGCTGCTGTCTCTGCTACAAGCTGCTGCCCTCCAGATTCCCCCATCAAGGGCTCCAGCTCCCAACTTGTTTTGCTTAAAAATAGCCAGATTACTGAGTCACTACTAAGTCAGACAGATTTATCTGAACCAGGTCAGGGAGAGCTCACAACAAGAAATCTAAGAGGAATAATGCCAATGAGCAATAGGACCAATCTCTTTGGTAGGCACATGTGGACCCACCAAAAAGAGGACACATGTCTGCAGTCCCACAGCTCAGGCAACCTCACTCCAGCTGCCAGAAAGGAAACTCTAATTTCACTTGTTATAACCCTAAAAACAGCAGAGTTAGAGCATGCAAATTCTCCCTGCTCATTCCAGAGTGAGCTCAGAAGCCTTTGCTTGAGTCACCAATGAAGTGATTTGAGTGAAACTGCCTGATTTTGCCCTGTGCTGACTTGTTCTGTCAGCTGAGGAGAGGGGACAGATACTCTCAGCTGGTGGAATGAGCGATGAGTAAAGAGACTTTAGACAACTTAGATATTCCTTTAAGTAGAGGAGTCACCACCTGCTGAGGTGTTGTAATAACCCAGGAGAAGCTACAGGAGAAGCAAGACATCTGGCATGAGCTGCTACTGGAACAAGGTCCTGACTGAACACACTGAGTGACCAACCCCTGTGCTCTCTCATCTGATCTCCAGCAGATCACTGGGCTGGAAACATGCTGAGATCTTCATCTCCCTAGGGCTGCCTTACCTGTAAAGCACTGTAGTTCATCTGGAACCGAAGGATGGCCTCACACAGGTTCCAAAAGGAATATTCTGGCCACAGGACTGACTGAAACACCAGGCATGAATGGGATGTCTGCAGAAAGCAAGATCACCAACAATTTAATCATCTGGGGAAGGAAAAATGTCATCCCAATGCAGCTCTGTTATGATGCCAGTTTCCCCACAAAGATTTCACCGAGGCTGTGGTATCAGATTCTACTGAAAATGAAACAAATACCAGGGAGGAGAGTTTGAAATTGCACAATGTAGTGTCTTTCTGATTAGTTTTCAGACACTAGTCATCCATTCCTGTAAAAATACCAGCAGAATTCTTTCTGATGCTATGTTGGTCTTCACAGAGGTACTTTTAATAGCTTAAGCACCATGGACATATAACCAAACTAAAATAGCAACTACCACAGGCTGAGTTAAGGGAATAACAGATGAACTGAGCATCAGGAC